ATAAGACGCCTGACGGGCGGGCTCTGCCGTATGAAGTGTATGCCGGGGTCTTGGATGATTTGCTCCCGCTCGTAGAGATGGAGCAGAACTTCATTGTGGATTTCTTTCATGCATCTACACTGGAGCAGGCTGATTTCCCTGACCTGGTGGCTATGGCTGAGCCTAGGAATCGCAGGGGAGGGGATCTCAAGAGGCATCGTCTTATGGAGCCTGATCGGGAATTGGCGAGGCGGGTTACGAAGGCGATGGAGGTTATTTTCCAGTTTTTGGAGAGCAATTTGCAGCAGTTGATGGATTGGGTTTTGGGCATGGATCCTTTGTGAGTTTTCCTTGGTCTTTTGGGACTTGGATATGGCGGTTGGATGCTAACATTGTGATAAACAGACAAGGAGTAGGCGTTCTCGCCACGCTAGAGCGTAAAATGACAGCCATGGGCCAGTCGAACCAAGACTATCTGAACAACGTCCTCCAGAAGCTCCACGGGAACCTCGAGACCAAGTTCAGAAAATTCGTCGACGACCAAATCCGCGCCATAGAAGAGACCAAGGTCAAGATCAAGAAGCGCAAGGGTGTGATCCATTTCATCCGAATCTTTCCGCAGTTCTCGACAGCAGTGGAGAACATGCTCAGCGGCGTAGAATCTACTCTGGGCGTCAGACGCATGGTAGACCGCGAGTACGAACGCATCATCAGGACCATGTTTGACTCACTCAAAGTCATTGCCCGAGAAAACCCTGCTGTCGCCATGGCGGCCAGCGGCGTGGGTAGCGGTGGTGCCTCGATCCTCACCGCAGCGAGCAATACCAACTCTGCCGATCCCGAAGACAAAGAAGCCCTCAACTTTCATATCCTTCTCATCGAAAACATGAACCATTACCTCGAAGAAGTCGACAATACCCGGGGATTAGAAGTCCTGGACGACTGGCGCGACGCAGCCCAGCAGGAATTCGCAGAGCACATGGGATTGTACATCAACGCCGTCATGCGCAGACCCCTGGGCAAACTCCTCGAATACCTCGAGAACATCGAGGCGCAGCTCACGAGCGGAAAGACGGCGGGCATGATTGCCGCCCAGCCGTCCAACTCCAAGGCGACGTTTAATAAAGTGCTGGGAACGTACGATGCCAAGGAGGTACGGAAGGGGATCGAGACGCTGAGGAAGCGAGTGGAGAAGCACTTTGGGGATGGGGCCGAGGATCCCATGCAGGCCAAGAATCTTGTGGTGAAGGTGTTGAGGGAGTGTGAACGGTTTTATGGAGAGGTTGAGATTAGAATTGGGAAAATCACTACCGATGTTTATGGCGGGGATGTGCTGTTTGAGTGGCCGAGGCTGGAGGTCAAGAGTGCTTTCAGTGCGTTGGGGAGGTAGACACTCACACCCGGATAAGGGTACTGCTAGGGTCCAGGAGAGAGTGAGTGAGTGGTTGGAAGTCGGTTAAGGGGTAGAGGGGGGTATAAAGGGTTTATATCACATCACATTGCAGATTTGGCGTTCCCTGTCTAGTTTAAGGGTTTCAATGGAGAGATGATTTCGGTTTCTTTTTTTATGCTTGTTTTAAGCCAGTTCTTCATGTTTATATTGGACGATTCGGATCTGAAAACGTGCATATATTACTTTTTCTTGTCCATGAACCTAGCTGCTTGCATGCCTTGGTTACCATATTTTCTTTCCATCTATTCTTGTTCATAATGCAAAAAAATAGAAACAGCTGCTGTACCAAGATTAACTACGGATATAAAAAATAGGATCAAAAGATTACCCCGACAGAGGAGTCTTCTTTCTGTAAGAAAAAAAAAGATATAAGAGGATGCGACTCTGGGTTTCAATGGACTTTGAGCTAGGCTAGGAAAAGAGATTTTCCACCCTGCCACACTCTTTGCAGGGTGCTCAGCTCAAAGTCCACTGAGACTTAGAGTTTGATCCAATGATCGAACCCAGGCTTGATCTGGGGACCTTCAGTGTGTGAGACTGACGTGATGACCAACTACACCATTCGACCGGATGAGTATGATATTCTTGTTCTTCTTTTGGGTTATCTTCGGGTTGTGGGTGAGTAAGATTTCGCTTCTGGTGGCGCTGGTTGATGATGAAGGCTAACCTAGGTCTTGAGAAATATCCGTACAGCTTATTTCAAGTTGGCATAGGTATGTACTGACTTTGCAAGCAATCTTACGATCGCACAGAATCCGAAAGGTCTTATACGGAAAATGACCTGTGCAACCAAGTCATCAACACCAAGCTTACAAAGTATCAACAGCTTCCCAAGCTCTAAGCAAGAGTTATAAGTAAGACGGTACGACCTTGTTTAGCGCCAGCTCCGTTCCGGCGGCGGGCAGTGTCGGCTCCGCTCGGGGCTCGCTAAGAATCCCCCGGTACGGGACCCCGCGATCTGGGCTGGCCATCAACTGCTACAAAACTCCCGAGGCTCGGAGGAATAGAGATATGTTCTTGCCTGATGGCGCGCCTGATTTATAGACAATGCATACTGAATACCGGTATTGAGAGCATCGCTGCGGCGGGTTATCGATAGCTGCGAACTGAATGCTACCGTTGTACCCTCCCCGTTCGCTGGCTCGGTCCCTGGTCCAATGAAGGGCCGCCATCGCCCCGGATATGAATGTCCGTCTGTGAATTATCGTGCCTCGGCTCGTCGTCCCTCCTTGAGTCCTTGCTAACACCGCGGAGAACTACATGATTTTTTGGATGGTGCGTAGAGGTATTTCATTCTCATACCTTCATTTGAGGGAATGTTCATGTGGGTAGTGTAAATGCATGAAACTTTCACACAAGTTTGGTCTCACGTTTCCCTCTTTCTCATCCCCTCTTTAAACTACGAACATCTGGACATTTTATATGAACTTCATTGCAGTTTACCACAGAAGCATTTCCAAGAGTCTGCTTCACACTCTCTTTTAACCTCGCAGCCAACCTGACCGGTCACAACACGACGATTCTGAGAGCTGCTCCCGAGTCCAGCCTCACGATCGACTTGTAATCCGATCGAAATATATGTATTTCAGCTCGAGGTATTCACCGTATCTCTCATCCTGAGTCGATACCAGAGCTTCCATTGCAGCGACAGAGTCAAACATGTCGTCCACCTCGGAAATCTTCCACATAAAAGAGCACACAGTCGAAGCGCAGCACATCCGCGAGTATCCCCGCGCGACGGCCAACTCTCAGGAAGAAGTCCTCCATCTGGCGCTCAAGCAGTACATACCCAAAAACAACCCGACGCCACAGCCCGGGGACGTGACCATCCTCGCCTCTCACGCCAACGGTTTCGTCAAAGAGCTGTACGAGCCGCTATGGGAGGATCTCGTCGAGGCACTAGGGAAATCAGGCGTCCGTGTGCGGAGCATCTGGATCGCAGACGTAGCCTGGCAAGGACAGAGCGGCATCTTGAATCAAGACAAGCTGGGTTATGACCGTAGGTTGTCACATTCTCACTCAGCCATAAAATGTCTAACAAATATGCTAGCATCCTGGCTCGACCACGCCCGCGACCTCCTCCACGCAGTGAACACGTTCCGAAAAGAGATGCCCCGCCCTCTGATAGGAGTAGGCCACTCCTTCGGCGCAAACACGCTAATCAACCTCTCTCTGCTCCATCCGCGCTTGCTCACATCTATAATCTGCCTCGACCCGGTAGTATCCCGCTACAAGTTCATGAATCCACGATGGGGCCTGCTGCCAATGAAATCCTCAGCCAACCGCAGAGACCTCTGGCCTTCTCTCCCAGAAGCAATCTCCTCTTTTGCCAAGAACCCTTTCTACGCAACCTGGGATCCTCGCGTGACAGAGAAATGGAACCAATACGGTCTACGAAAAACACCCACAAGGCTATACCCCTCCCCCGAAGATGCGGACATGGTGACTCTGGCAACGTCGAAACACATGGAGGTGGTAACCTACTACCGCCCTCAAGACCAATCCTTCGACCCCAAAACCGGCAAGCGAGTTGTATCCCCAAACAAAAAAATCGACAGATCCAAACTCCCCGACGCAGAACCAACACTAGCAGCGGATTTCGGAGATGATTTTGTATTCTACCGCCCCGAAGGTCCCACAACAGCAGATAGACTACCGAACCTTCGACCAGGGGTGCTCTACATTTTCGGAGAAACAAGCAACGTTAATCCGCCTGATATCCGGCAGGAAAAGGCAGACCTCACTGGTGCCGGGGTTGGCGGGAGCGGTGGAGTTGCCAAGGGACGAGTCGAGATTGTTACGCTGGAAAAGTACGGACATTTGGTCCCGCTTGAGGCTACGACGCGGTGTGCGCAGCTTGCTGGGGATTTTATCAAGAGGGAACTGGAGAGGAGTTGGAAGCCTGAGGAGGAGGAGTATCAGGCTTGGGTTGAAGGGAATTCGCTGAGGGAGAAGCAGACGTTGGGGAGGGAGTATGATGTTTGGTTAGGGGGAGGAGGTGGGCAGAGTGTGAATGGGGTTAAGAAGGGGGCGAAGTTGTAGACGGTGGTTGTGGTGGTGAATGTGATGGGAAGCTGTGGACTTTTTTTTTTTTCTGGCAGAGGATAGACAGAAGAGGACAAATGACTGCACGGCTTGCGGTCATTGTTCTACCAAGATAAAGATCCAGATGGAAAAGGCGGTCGTAATTACCTAATATCAATATAAACTTGGGAAAAAGATCAGGTGAGTGCCAGTTTTACCGCGTGATGCCATCATAGGGCAATATCGGTTCGACAAGCCATGGTAGATCTGAATTCGGCTTGGAGTTGGGAAGTACCAGGCAGTGCCTTCCTTCTCTTTATTCTCCCTTCCCTCTTGATAAAGGTTGGGTTATGCTGCGGTCGTAATCAAAACGGGGACACCACAAGTACGTACACACGTACCATTGGGATTCAGGTAACCGGCGTCAAACTTTATGAGAGACCCGGTCTGCTCAAGCCACTCAACATAAGGACCCTTACTCAGGTGGTGGTTCATAAGCTACATGTGGAGAGTAACTTCCATCAACTCGGCGAGAATCTCAGATGGGTGACTAGTCTAGTGGTTAGGACGGTTCGTTGTGGCTATGCGTGCTCTTCGACTAATTCAGCTCGGAGGGTGCGTATGGTTCCTCCCCGAACAAACCCCGGTTCGATTCCGGGGTCGCCCAGTTCTTTTTAATCCCATATCTCTTTTTAATCTCGGCAGTTTTCATCTCGTCCTTTTTTCTATTGTTTTTTATTGATCTTTGTTTGATCTTTGCCACGACGTTAACCAGTTGCTCAAGTAAGCCATTACCTCTATACATACTTTCACCCAGTATTGACGCAGCAGTCCAGTTTCTTATGGACCGTAGATTGATGACTAGTTGACTGGTCATCTTGGTCGTGGCGACAAGTTGAACTGTCTGGATCTTCGGCGACATACGCGTACCCACTCTCTCAGAGCCAGACAGAAATTATGATCTGATCGTGGTTCCAACATAGACATCCACTGGGATTAACACAATACGTGTTGAGGCGACGATCGAGGATGTCGAGTTCGGAACGGGGGGCGGTACCAATGATGGCCGGAACCTCTGATTCGCGACCCTTGATAATGTCGGGGAAAATACTATAACGATTGAAAGCAGTAGCTGCCCGGATGGCAACCTTTCGTGGGAGAAGCGGAATCGCTACTATCTGCAAATATTGTTGGTTCTACTTTGTCTTTAACATCATCAATGACACGACTTGAAGGAACGCCGAACATATTATGCACCACTGCATTTCATCTGCAGGTCGAACCGGAATTTTCTGGAGATCCTACCCCCAGGTTGCATCCTCTGGAGATTATAACCTCCTTCTAGTGTTCCTCCCAGTAGGAGAAGTACTAACAATATCTGGTTTCTATTTCCAAACGCTGCCGTATATGATAGTATCAAGTCACCAGAGAATGGCCTTCCTAGTATACTTTGCTGGGTATCGTAGCAGACATGAGTATCCCGATATTTCTAGAATTCTAAGGCTTCTTTAGTCGAGGACTGCGTTTACAGTTGTTGTCTTCGTAACAGACAGTTTCTAAAAAGCTATAGACAATGGTAGTACTAGAACTGAAATGAACCGACGAAAGAGGATAAGTAGAAGATGAACCATGGAAGAATGAATATATCTAGACTTCCGCACCGGTCCACGCTCTTTGATCCCACACCGACATCGAGAACGGCGCAGGGGTTGCAATTAGCTCAACCCTCTCCTCTATCCTTGACATAAAGTCTACCAAAGGCATAAGCGGGACGTATAAGAGGCATTGGTAGATGCAAATAACGCATCCGCAGTCCAAGTAAACCACTTGTCTTTGGGACAGCTTTATACGTATGCCTTGACTTTCCATTCTTGACACCCTCTCATGATCTCTTATACCCCTATTTCTCATCTTGTTAAGGTATGAGATGGATGATGGGATGCCTGAGTATGTGGAAAAGAATGTATTTATCGTCTAGCGACAAGCCCTTGAATAACAGTATTCTACGCCTTGGGTGTCAAGAATGATACACCCTCTCTTAATCTCCTTTACCCCTGATATCTGTTCTTCCGAGGCATAAAAGGGATGTGTGGGATACGTAAGTATACATGGAAAGTAATGCATTTATCGTCCAGTAAAAGCCGTGGAATTACAGCATTCCGGGCCTTCTTATCCTCTCTTATACCCCTGTTTCTAGTCTCTTAAATGTATGAGTGAGATGCATGGGATTCGTGTTATACGGAAAGTAATACATTTGTTGTCAAGCAACAAACAAACCCTTGCATAGCAACGTCACAAAATTGTGTCTTCTTAACCCATCTCGCATCTTTCATTTACGCCTTTATAACCTCTCTCATACCCGTATTTTAGTTCTTCGAAGGCATGGATGGGATGCATTGAAGCCGTCACCACATAAGAAAAACACGTTTGCTAGCGAACAATATGCCGCGAGTTAAACATTGGTAGGCCTTAATTCCCTCTTCGGAACACCCTCTCGTTCTTTTCTCACGCCCCGTGGCCGGGCATCTCATCCCCTAAATTTAGTCCCCCAAATGTACCAAAGACATGTATTACGGACTTGCCACGAGGCCCGGGTTACACACCATCTGCGACTGATGAATTCATTCTCGACACCTCAAGGCTGCGAGTGCGAGTCCCATGCACAATTTCATCGGAGGGCTGCTTGACACTGAGATTGCCACGCGTCAGTCAGTCAGTTCGTCAGAAAAATAATATGACATAACTAGAATTAAAGTCGTTCGCGGATACTTTGTACAAACTAGAAGGGGAGATGAGACACAAAAAGAAAAAAAGAACGAAAATGATGGGGGCCACCCGGGGATTGAACCCGGGACCTCTCGCAAATATAAGAGCCTGTTTAGGCAGGCTCTTGGTATACTTGGGTGTGACCCTAAGCGAGAATCATACCACTAGACCAGCGGCCCTTGTTGGGATTTGTTGTTCTTCCGTGGCCAGAACGAGTCATTATGTTTGTTGATGGTGGAACTAGATTGTTAGTCAAAGTTTTATTCTTTATGTGGAGTTGTAGAACTTTAAACCGATCTCCCGGTCATCCCGATCCATCTGTTATACTCATGACATTCAAAAGCCACATTCCCCTCCCAAACGTCCATCCAATCTGTAAAGCAGCGGGTTTAGCTCAGTTGGGAGAGCGTCAGACTGAAGTCCACTTCGGTTGTCACGATCGAGGTCGTGAACAGTTATATCTGAAGGCCGTGTGTTCGATCCACACAAACCGCAAGTATCATTTTATTACCGAGTGAGTGTATCAGATCTTTTTGCTTATAGTGTCTAATTTAAATGGCGATTTAACTCTGCAAGTTCATCCGAAATCAGCAAGATTAAAAAATGGGTGACTAGTCTAGTGGTCAGGACGGTTCGTTGTGGAAATATTTCCCTTACACTCCTTCCCCTATGAAGAGTAATAATGGGGGATTTCCTCGATCCGAACAAACCCCGGTTCGATTCCGGGGTCGCCCAGTTGTTTGTCTTTTGGCTTTGTTTTCCCCCCTTTCTCTTTCCTTTTTGGTCCATACTTGAAGGAGTAACCTGACCATATACGATATTTCGATTGCCCGTCCTGAACTGGGCATCTGGCTCTGCAGTTCAATACTTTGAACATGCCATTTTGTACTGGCGGCTTGTCAAGACTCCAAGAAGAGTGGTATGATACCCGCTGCCCAGGATACCGCTGGTACTATATGCGCATGACAAAAGGAAGGTGGACTATTCATGTCCATCAGTGGAGTGGTTGTGGATTATAACATTTCCATCTCGTCGGGTTCTTTCATCCCATTTCGGCAGACGAAAGGCTATTGTTTACCCCGGCAACCATCCTCATACAAAGGTTGGGGGTAAAGGAGTTTAAAAGGCACTTGATCAGTGTCACATGATAGCTGTAACCATCCATGATGGGGCAAATCGTTACTGATCAAAAGAAGAATGTCGATTTTATATCATCGCTTCCTCTTGGAATTAGCTATGTGCGTCGAGCATGCCCTGACCCAGGCAGCTGGCATATGCAGCAGATATGGCCCAAGATCCTTCACCGCCCTGGACCATACGTAATTAGGTAGAATACGTGACCCTAGAACACCACTCGTTCGTAAATCCTCCTCTCTATCTTCTTACGCCCTCAGAACGAGGTTGCGTGAAGTAAAGGAAAAGCAGAGCCGTCAACATAACCCGCTAGAAAATCCATGATGCTAAACCGCAACGCAAGTTGTCTAACCGTCCCACCGCCAAAGAAAGAACGCACGTCACATGCAGGTTCTATCTAGTCCCTCTATATATAACCCATTTCCTGGTCCTGGGATGTTCGCAGACAATTGAGAAAATAAATCCCACGAGATTATGCTCACGCCTTGACAGAGTAGGTACGCTTGAACATTTCGTCAACCTTCTCGAGGTAGTAGGTGCCGGGGAGGATGGTGGAGGCATCGCCCTTGGGCGTGTAGTCTTTTTGAAGATGAGCCTGCTTGCGGAGGTCGCACATCTAAACGGAAGAAGCCAAGTCAGTACAGTGCTAGCTAATAAGGGGTCTAGTGAGTGAGAGACTTACGGCATCGTAGGTCTCAGGGGGCACCGCCCGGCGGGAGCTGACCAGTCTATTAGGAATATCCAGGGCCTTGGAGATTTGCTCAGTGCTTCCGACAACACGGAAAGAGCAGAAGCTGGCAGCAAGACCGGAGCCGTAGCTGAAAAGGCCAATTCTCTTGCCTTGGAGAGCCTCACTGTCGACGTGGGAGATCAAGCTGGCAAGACCACCCCAGACACTGGCGCAGTACATGTTACCGCACATGGTGGCAACCTGGATACCGGGGTTCACGCGCTCCTGGAAGCGCTTCTTGGTCAGGGTCATGAAGCTCTTCTCAACAACCTTGTCGGTCAGAGACTTCTCATAATCCATGTCGCGGACCTCGGGAGGAACATCGGCAAAGGCCGGGCTCTCGGGATCAGCGAGGTAATCGTGGTAAAGAAGACGGGCGTAAGACTTGGCGACAAGCTTGCAAGTAGGGGCGTGGAAAGCGAGATAGTCGAAGCGGTCGAGGGGGGTCTTGGGGACTCCGCCTGCGGCAGCGCTTCCGTTGAGGTGGCCGTTGACACCCTTGGTGAGCGCAGCCTCGCGCTTGCAGTAGGCGCGGTAAGCAGCATCGAGGGCCTTGGTGTAGCAGTTTACCGAGTAGTGACCGTCAACGTAGGGGTACTCGCTGGTCAAGTCGGGCTTGTAGAAGTCGTAGGCGTGCTGCATGTAGCTTCCACGGAGACCGGGCTCGATAACGATGGGCGCGTCAGGGCCAATAAGGAGGGCGACGGCGCCAGCACCGCCAGTGGGGCGAGCGTTACCCTTGGCGTACAGGGCAATATCTCCAGCAACAACGATACCGTCCCGGCCGTCCCAGGCAGAGGACTCGATCCAGTTGACAGTGTTGAAAACAGCGTTGGTACCACCGTAGCACGCGTTGACGGTATCGACACCCTCAATGTTGGTGTTATCGCCGAAAAGCTGCATCAAGACAGACTTTACAGACTTGGACTTGTCAAGGATGGTCTCAGTGCCGACCTCGAGGCGTCCAATCGAGTTGGTGTCCACGTTGTATTTCTTGAGAAGGTTGGAGACAACGGTCAAGGAGAAAGAGTAGATATCTGAAGAAAGAGGCAGATTGTTAGCACCGGCGCGAGCTGTATATTTCCAAAGACTGCCGAAAGCAAGAAGGTCATGGAGTCGTAGTCGTGTCCTTGCTCTTCTTGCCAACCCCGCGTGCTCGCCCCAAAGCTCTGCGCTTGTCCTCGGGTAACAAGTTAAACAGTGACAGAGTGAATAAAACCACTAACCCTCGCGATCGTCGCAGAAGCTCATTTTGGTCTGGCCCAGGCCAATGGTATACTTGCCGGCGCTAACGCCGTCAAACTTTTCGAGTTCGGTTTGTTCGACATACTGTAGTTGAGGCCGCAGCTGTCAGCGATGTCGGCCCTAAAAGAGCGGCATGGGGAGATTGCTCGAGGAAGGAGTATGGGCCAAGAGTTGTCTGGTAGGCACAGAGGCCGGAATAACGCACCTGGCTGGGGAAGTAAATCTCGATGGCCTTGATGCCAATGTTCTGAGGGCGGGTGGACATGTTGGGCAGGCAATTGGTGTTTTATTTTCTGCGGATTTGTTGTTGGGAAGCAGAAATGGGGACTGGAAGAAAGGAGGAGGAGATTTCGGCTGGTTCTTGGGTTGCCGGCGATTTTGGAGGGGCAACAAACTGGGGTCGAGGGGTTAGCCTTAGCGCGATTCGTCCCCTTTTCCCATTCGATGTTTATTTTTTGGCAGTCCTCTTTCAGAGCCCACCCCTGGTCCCCTGGTTCTCTTCTTGTCCACTTCACCGCCGTTTGTGACTGCAACTTAACAACACACTGGCCTAACTTGTTCACTAGACCCGCATAACGTGCAGAATATTTGCTGGGGACCGTGTGATAGTGTAGGAGGGGCGCTTCAATGGGACTTGGGAGGGTCGGGTGAGGGGTGACACACCTGTCTCGGGATCAACGTTTTATTCGGATAGGCCCAACGTCTTGGTTTCTTCCCTATCACCGGTGTGGGTAGGAGCGGCGAGGGTTAGGAAGGAAGAGCAAAGGTGCGGATGAAGAAGAGTAGCAGCAAGTGGGAAGAGCGAGGTTCGAATAAATTTTGTCTCTTTATAAAGTGCTGTAGCTTGGCTGGATTTCACTCGTGACAGGGGACAATGGGCAAGAGAGAGCGGCCCAGACAATGCTAGCGATATACCGGTGGACCTCACCTTATTCTTATTGCTCGGATGCTAGTGCCGCTGTGTCTCGGGCAGAAGAAAAAGGGGATTGATCCGATTGTGAGTGGCAGGCCCGCTCGGAGGAGTTCGGAGTACCAATCTATATAAAATATTCGGATGGAAAGGGCACTTAGGCGGTCAAATTCCCAGTCGAGGAGAAGCATATTCCAGATGGTGCAAGAGGGGACTCGGGAGGAGAGGCCCAAAGTCTTGGCAATACGAGATTACGGCTTTCTTTGCTCCCCACGGGCAGAATGCTAGACCCACGAGAGGATCAAAAGATGCTACCGTATATCCACAGCTTGCGTTATCACTTGGCCAGTGAAACGCAGCATCTCCCATTCATCCTCGTCTTCTCGACCCTCCTCGGACCACTTCCCGTGGGACGCAGATGAGAGAAGTGGAGATCCCAGATATTAGCTCGATCTGATAAAGAAAACAGCCAAAAGCTCCATTCAGAAAAGCCTCACAACTCCAGCTGGAGTGGACATGGTGATGTTCTGTCCTGCTTCCCTCGACACGACGTTCCTTCCTTGATCGGAGAGATGAAGTGAGCGAGATGGCGGGCGGTGACTGCCATTTCTGGAAATTGCCGTGGCGGCAGGGCAGGCCTTGTCACCACTTTCTTTCTCGCCCCTGCCTCCCTTATCGATCCTCGGTGCTGCGGTCGAGAGGCGTCGTCATCAAGCCGCATCACTCACTTCGCTCACTTCCTGGTCTTGGATATTTGACATCGTATTTCGTCCGCAACTGGAAAGTCCCCGATTCAGAGTACGGAGTAGAAGCGCACGTGCTCCAACATCCCGAATATTTACGTGAGACCCTCTTCATGTGGAAGTTGGGGTCTTGGACGACTGCAGGTGGGGTGGAGAGGTACCAAGAAAATCGAGGGGCAATTTCTTGTGGCTGGGGACCTTGTTGGCCTCGACCAAGGGGACCGTGATAGTGTCTCCATGGCAATTCAGGGTCCAGCACTAACAGATCGGCAAAGGAAGGCCCCTGAAAAATTTCCCGACAGGGCCTTTCGTCCAATGATTTCAAGTCCGCGGCTGCAGGAACCGTGGCTGCCGTGTTACCATTTTGTGGCGCCTTTCATTTATCTCGTCACCATCAATCTTGAAGCCAGGCTGAGATTGATGTTGGTGTCGCACAATCATGTAAAGTTCACTTTCTTCTCTATGAACTCCCGCCGTTGCCGAATGGGAGAGCCACTCTCATATCCACCACTAAATCCGGACATCATACTCATGGTCGATGAGCTGACCGCCCAGCTACCTGAATTGAATTTGGTTAGTGGTGTTTGACGCGTCCAAGGACCAAAGGGACGGATCGTGCCATCAGCCGTCACTCGTCAGATGCACGGCCAGCAGCAAAGACAAAGTCTTATTTGCAGAGAATACTCAACTAAATCAACATTCGATTCAACCATTGACTGCGTCCCGTCTTTGCCCTCCGGCATGACAAACCTGACGAAAAGAGGATTGAGAAGTCGGCTGATCATAACACAGATTCATACCTTAACAGATTCAGCGCTAGTCACTTTAAACAAACGTTAGTATTATATCCCGGCTATTCTCGATTCAGCCCACCACTAATAACTCGAGGGCGACACAGCTTGAAAACCGATCAGATTGCGATAGTGAAGTTAAGCTTATGATCCTATTTATGTATCAAATGATCCTCCAAGAC